TGATCGATACCTAATTTTGGGATATACCTACATGAGCATACGCTACCCACATACCACACGCCCATTGGCAAAAATAAAAATAAAAATTTGAATTACAAAAAAAAATTTTTCAATAAAATACTTGATATTAAAAAATCGAGAAAAAGGTTTAAATTATTTTAAAATATTAAATTCTTATGCTTTATCATACTTAGAACATAATAAAAATATATTGTAAACATCGTAATAAAAAAAATTAAATACAGTGGTAGAGCCACGCGGCAGCTTTGCTGTTGTACGTATGGGCCGGCTCAAACTAGGGGGATACTACGACCTCACAGAATACCGGCGGAATAATAAGTGGAAGTTCTGCTTCCGCGTATCGTCTGGTGAGTGTATGTAGGTGGCCGGAGGCCCAATTCCCCCCTTAACATGGTAGCGGAACTAAGTAAAGATCTAGCTCAGAGCATCCACGACAAAGTTACTCTACTTCCGAGCGTGGGTGCTCAGGCTGCCCCGCGTACTCTGAGGGCGGGGGGGGGGGGGGCAACGCTCAAGACAACAACTGCTCGGATCAAGCTGAGCAACGAGACCAAAGCAACCTCTGCCACGCTATCCGTGAATTTCTGCAATATCAGGGGTTTTAATTTTAACCTAAACGCCGTCCACTACCATCTCAAGACGGCGTGGCCGGCTCTGCTTTTTTTTGTCGACCGAGACGCAGGTGTCCTCTCCAGATGATGCTTCATACCTCTCCTACCTGGGGTACAAACTGGAAGCTTTGTGCCTCGGGCGGGAGTTTGCGTATACGTTGGAGAGAACATCTGTTCTCGACGCTTCAGCTGTCTTGAAGGTTTGGACCTGTCCATCCTTTGGCTACGCGTAGACAGCGAAGACCATCCGCGCGTCTAAGGGTGCCTATATAGGTCCCACAGTGGTAATGCCGAAAGAGACCGACTCTTCGACCACGTTCAAATGGCTACAGATTCGTTGCTACAGCAGATCCCCTCCGCAGAGATCGTGATCCTCGGCGACTTTAACGCCCACCATGCCAAATGGCTTGGTTCACATTCTACCGAATGCGGAGAGATCTCTTCATGATTTTGCATTGGAATATGGTCTGACACAACTGGTTACTTCGCCTACGCGGATTCCAAATGTGGAAGATCATGCACCTTCCCTGTTGGACCTTCTGTTGACCTCTCACCAGGACGGATATCTGATTTCCGTCGACACCCTTTTAGGCTCTTCAGACCATTGTTTTGTCCGGAGTGTGCTACCACTCACGCTAAAATCGCAGTTGCATTCTGCAGGCTGCCGCCGTGTTTGGCACTATTTGTCGGATACTGTCCAAGCGTTAAGCATTCTGTAGTCCCCGCACGAACGCCAATCATTATCTTTTCTTGGAATTAATTGAGTGGCAAAGACCAAGAACTTTCAGAAGGCCTAGCTTTTTCATTATCCAGTATGGATTGGAACTATTGTTGGGCTACTATGTATTTATCTGGCGCGAGGCGATGAGGGGAACAAGAAATTGTAGGTCTTCGTACGTTTACGCACTACGTTTGAGCCCTTAAAATCGTTTCACATTTGACTAAGATATCGCATAGCAAACACACAAAAAGCAAATATAGTCGAATTGATGACTTCCTTTTTTGAAGTCGGCTGAAAATTTAAGCGGTGAGTTGAAATGCGTTCAAAGTACACGTGTCAATAAATCAACAAAGCGTTTTGCAGCACCGGGTTTATCGAGAAGCGCGATATTTGTTCGGCAAATCTCGTGTCTTTGTAACAACAGACGTGCTGATGCTGTTTTGAATCGGCAATTGAAAGACAAAATCTTTTTTTTGAGTAAATTTTTTATATATTGGAATGTATTTCTTAAGTTTTACAGATTAAAGCCAATGTGCTATTCTAATTTCTGGCAAATATTATAAAACTAATAATTAAACAAGCTTAAAGGTTGTTTATAGAAGAGGGGGCAAACGTGCATACGGTTCACGTGATGTTAAGTGAATACCGCCACCCATGAACATCCGCAGCACCAGAGGAATTGCAAGTACTGTGCCGGCCCTTTAGAAAAGAGTAAGCTCTTTTCGGTCGAGTAGGGTCGTATCGGTCCGGAAAAATCGCCGGTGGTAAAATATTCCACAGAGAGGTCGTACGCGAAAGAAAACTCCTAGTGAAACGTAAAGTCGTGGATCGCCACATCCAGATGGTGTGGACAGTATCGTGAGGTTTGCCAGGTAGTACCTTCATGAAATTTGGCGGATAGGATTAATCCGAACAATTCCTCGGAGCACTCCCCGTGATAGATGCAATAAAATACGCAAAAAGATGCAACATCTATTCGCCGCGCCAGTGAATCGAGCCGATCAGAAAACTGGAGCTGGTACTGGGGAAATCCAGCCCAGAGATGGGAACAGTGTTCCATATGCGGCCAAACCTGCGCCTTATAAAGTTGCAGGTGGTGTGCTAGCGTGAAATACTGTCCCGCTGTGCTAAGCACACCAAGATTTTTAGAGGCCAATTTGGCTTTCTCTTCCAAGTGACCACGAAACTGCACGTCACTCGATATGTCGACGCCGAGGATTCCGATACTGGCTGAGGCAACAAGGGAGTGCCTTGAAACTGAGGAGATATGATCTTTTTAGCGGTTAACACGCAAACTTTTGTCTTCCGAGGATTAAACTGGACTAAATTTAGTCGAACACAATCCGAGACTCTGTTCAGCAAAGACTCGACTTCAGACATAATTTTGTCCTGGTACTCGGAGACGTTTTTCCTAGAAATATTGGCACGGCCGGTGTACAGAGCATAACCAGTGCTGTCACCTGCATAGCAATGAATGTTACCGGTTTGCAACATATCACTGATATGCAGAAGAAACAGCGTTGGTGATAGCACGCAGCCTTGTAGAACTCCGGTTATAGGCTTGTGATCGGAGCTTGCACAATCTACAACGACCTTGATGTTCCAATCTGAAAGATAGCTGGTGATTCAATTGCACAACTTCTCGAGAAGCTAATAGGAAGGGAGCTTCGAAAAAAGCGCTTTGTGCCAAACTCAATCGGAGGCCTTCGCAATATCCAAATTAACGGCAAATGCCTGCCCCTTGGACTCTACTGCCTCCACCCATCTATGAGTCAGATAGAAGATCACCAGCTGATCGACCACGACAAAAACCGTATGAGAAATCACTAATCAGCTGGTGATCCTCAAGGTTCCTCATGAGCTGGTAGTTTACAATGGACTCAATTGTTTTGGAGAACAAGGAGGTGATGGCGATAGGCCTGTAGTAGGACGGGTCTGAGCAGTCGCTTTTTTTAAGGATCAAGTGGATGAAAGCCGTTTTTCCATGATTTCCGGCCTACGCCTAGGGAGTAGGAGTACCGGAAAAGACGCGCTAAAATCGGTGCTAACTCTGGAGCACACCTCTTCAGCACTATTGGAGAGATACCACCACGCCCACTCGACTTGTGGATATCCAGGGAGATGAGAGCTTTGCGAACCGAGCGCTGTGTGAACCGCACCTCCGGCATAGAGCACTCACACCGCGGGATGGTTGGCGGCGTACTCCCCCTGTCATCGAGAGTCGAGTTGGATGCAAAGAAAGAGCCCAGCATGTCGGCTTTCTCCTTTGCGGCATGGGCCAGTGAGTCGTCCTCCTGTGAACAGATGGAAGAAATGGCTGACAGAAATTTCCCTGGACAGCCTTGGCGAGAGACCAGTATGCATGGGTTCCAGAAGGAAGGCGAACTAGCTTCTTACCAGTTCCGCTTATGTGCTATTTTTACTGCATTCCGTATAAGAAATAATGCAAAGGGCGGACTTAATGTCTATAGGATCACTTACTTCACTTAGCCAAAAGCCTTTAACCTGTTGCCTTAACCATCCCTACATTGTTATTGGAAAGAAATATAATAATTGAAAAATTGTACAGTCGAATCGAGAACTTGCTCTTTTTAAGTCGGCTAAAAATTATCAACTACGTTTACCTAAAGAAGAAATTACTGGCTTCAAGCTGCTTCACCACTTCGGTAGCCCTATAGCCATTTATGAGAATTTAGTTTCAAATTGCAGCAACGGTGTGTTTTGGTAACAATTAGCAAGTAATTATAATTAAAATTTACTGTTTTACTCTCCAAGGATTTCCTCTCTGGTTGGCGGAAAATTAAATTAATTTGTTCGGTTTCAAAATTTCCTCTAAATAAATACTTCAAAGGTATTATTTTAATAAAAGTAAAGTTATGAAAAAGTTTTGTTACTTGATTTAATTAGTCTTCAGCTGTTTAATTCGCTTCATAGTCTTCCCGATGGTTATTGGTCACTACCAACGACTACACAGCCCGAATAGACGCCTCATTCAAGGCAAACACTTTCTGTCAACACATTAGACAAATACGTCTTACTTCAGAAAACAATCGCACGATCTACTTTAGTAGCGACCACTTCTCTGACCAGTAAACATCTTGTATGTGACTCGTGAATTTTCGACAAAATAAAATACAACAGACGCGCAACATGGTTCCCTGTATAATAAAATAGTGCGAAAATAGTAGCCAAATGTGTAATTCCAAAAAAATGGCATTACTTTTCATAGATAAGTGAATTTTAATTTCCAAATTCATTTATTAAAATTAAATCAGAGCTCAACCTATATTTGTTACAAGCAACTCGCGTTGATTTATTCGGACATCTTCGGATATTTTCGGACTATGCATCCCTGTCTTTTGTTGCTATACTTTTCTTTAATTACCGGCACATGGGGGGTAAGGGGAGAATGATTTAACATCTTAACCGACCCAAATGCTAACCTCACCTGCACGCGCCAGTGGTTCATACGAATAGCTGACAACGACCAAACGTCGTGGTTCCCCCTGCTAGAAAACTGACGAGGCTCTGGCGACCGAACAATGGCGGGATATCCATACGCCCAGTTTGGCAACTAACTGGAAGAGACTTCCGAGGCCTTGGGGACCAAATACCCACTAAACTGGTGCAGACTGGTGCAGAAGGGAATGGGAAACCACTGCACTAATCTCCCAAGAAAATCACCTATGGACACACAGAAAAAGAGTAAAGTTCTGTCATGCGACCCGGCCAACGCCCGGCGCCACCTCTCCGGGCAAGGTGATGTGAAATATGCTACCAGCCTTGCCAGCGCAACTCACCAGGCGACGCCGCAAGGAATTCATTATTCTGGTGCATCTACAGCTACAACACCCATAGCTAAACAAATATACTCCATCGGGACTTGGAATGTTTGCGGCCTCATTCAAGACGGGAAACTAAGCATTATAGAAACAGAAATGCAAAGAAAGAAAATTGACATACTTGGTTTGAGTGAAACTCACCGGAGAGGCTCTGGCTATTTTACATCTGACATGGGTAATACAGTATATTTCTCTGGACTTGAATATGAAAGCAACCGAGGAGTCGCATTCATTGAAGTTGACGTTGTGGCTGAAATGGTGGTGTAGTGGAGGTATGGCTATTTAATGCATCTGAGGTTGGAGAGTGACTTCGTTGATCTTATCCGCCAATGAAGCAACATTTTGCAGGTTCACATCTGTCTACTCTGATAGGTTGAATATGACCTGTATGTAGGCTACTCGTCTATAAAGATCTGATAAATTCGTCTGTGAAATAGGTTCCAGCCAAATTGCGCAAAAGCCGTAGAAACGGTGAAGGTTTGCGATCTCCTTATTCCTCGTGTGCCACCAGCTGCCGAACTCCTTGCTGCCACATATATCTAAATTAGCAGGCAGACTCAGTTCTGCAGCATATGCTGTAAGAAAAATTAGAAGTCTCACCAATGTTGAGACAGCTCGATTACTGGTTGCGCAGAAAAAAATTAGGTACTCTAACATTTTGTTTGGTTGGTTATTGTTTGCCAGTGTCCCTCTCCGTCCTATTCACGCATTCAATTCCACACGGACTGAAAGTGAGGGGGGGGGGGTATTTTCTTTATTGTGGTTTCTTTCTCCTAAAAGCTTAAGTTGAATCCCATCACAGGACACTGGCTAAATAATAGATTAGGTGATAGCGAGAGCATCGTCCTAAACTGCCACGTGCCGCATCAGCCATCTTGTTTGGTTAAAGGGAACCACGCATACAGTCTACAAGAAAAACGATCCCGAAGAATAAATTATTAGCCCGACCCGGGAATCGAGCCCGAGACTTTATCACTCCACCAATTACTTTATTTTAGTTACTTTCATAGCCTATTATCTTTCGGAATCTTGCTATGGGGTAATGCGACTGACTTACGGGCGATTTATAACTTAAATTGCAAAGAGTCCCTGGGAGAAAAAATTAAAGAAATATACGTATTATTGTCTTTAGCGTTGCAATACATTTATAAAAATGTGATGTATGTACAACAAACATAAATAGCTTTTAACGCATAAACATAAACACTCACGCCTGTCACACAGAGGGGTAGGCAGAGACTACAGACTTCCATTTGGCACGATCCTGACACACCTCTCTCGCCTCCTTCACATCCATACATCTACGCATGCATGCTCGTCGGTTAAGGGTACTCCTAATTTGGCCCGTTTTCAATAAATCGCCAATTTGGTCGATAAATTTTCGCCTAAGACGTCCCTTTCTGACTCTGCCATTCACTTCTGCAATATAAATTTTCTTCGTCACTCTTTCCTCATCCATTCCTTCCACATGACCAAACCACCGAAGCATTCCTTTCTTAATCCTGGTCACAACATCATCTTGCAAACCACACTCTTCTCTTATCACACAACGCATTTACAACGAAATCCCAGAAATGTACAAAATTTGTCTTAAACAAGTTAAAATATTCTTACTGAAGAAAAAAATGTACAAAAAGATTTATTATAGTATCAAAGAATATGAAAATGAAAATACCCTCTGGAAATGAGGTGATCGCCACCATGCTCGTTCTATAAGAATTCATTCAAAATTGTACAAAATAAATTATTTTAAAGTTAAATACGTTTAAAAAAAGTCCCTCCGTTTTTGTTGCTTGATCTTCCCAGGACAGAGGTTTTTTTCGAGCGAGTGGTAAATAAAAAATGACTTTCAATAAGTATTATACAATAATCTATATTGAATAAAAATCATTAATATCATTTTATTTTATTCCTTGTCAGAAAAACCCAATAACTGATTTTGCTCTGATCCGAGATGCGACATGGGACCTCATGACCAGTAACCGCGTGTACGACCACTAACTGGACTTGCGAGGCAGTTGAAGTGTAAATATATTACACGTGGAGAGAAAGTATAGACACATTGTCAATAACAATGTCAGATATGTGGGCAGAGAGTGCCGTGTGAGACACCACAGTTATGTAAGAATATTCACTTCCCCATATCGTCCCGTGAATGTCACAAGAGAAAACAGGGTACTTAAAACAGAAACATCTTCCTGATAACAATACAAAATAATAAAAAACTGCGATTGACAACCCGCTCGCCAGGTGTGTCAACTATAGCAAAGTCTATACGGCTCATAAGGCAATTTATGAGGGACTACTACTATGTTCCGCAGTGGACTTTTATAGACTTTAAAGTGAAAAAAGAATGTTTTTATTTTGAGAATCAACTGAATATCAATACTTTTTTGAAATATCATTTTACTTTTTTGAAACTAATTTTCGCTTTCAACTTGAAAATCTAATAATTACTCCCCTGATTTATCCTCGTTGTTATAAATAACAATAAACGACAAAAACAGCAATTTTTAACGGCATTTTAGGCAGGAGTAATTAAAAATTAGGCCATACTTTTCATGTAGATTGAATGGAAAAGAATTCGGTAACATTTGGAGGGTAGTCTATAAATATTATTTATTTAAAATAATTACTTTTTCGACATTTCCAGAAAAAGTCCAACAGACATTTTTTTAAAATAATGTTGTAATTATACAATTACAATAATAAACATTTTATATCGTAGAGCCACGCTGCAGCTATATTATAGTTGTAGCATGAATGTGTCGGCTCGACCGGGGCAAGTACACGCTGTCACAGAATACCAGCGTAAAATAGCAGCATAATGCTGTTATGTTTCCTGCGGGGAGTGTAGAAACCGGAGACCCTTTTTACTGAAATTCATTCTTTTACTGGCATTCCATCTTAGTCCTAAGGGGTGACAACGCATTTGCATTTTGATCCTTAATCCGGAATAACTGTGGATGTCTATCCCATGCCATCATCTTATCACATGGACTGTATGCTCGTTTATCACCCAATATTACAAAAATTAAAGTAAGTAAAGTAGGAATAGAAAAGAAAAAAAAGCTCCCCGTCATAAATCCCGGTACTTTACGTCAGCAAGACCTTTTAACCGTGTAGTAGCGGTGTCGTAACATACCCTACCCCATATCGTAAAGTGAGTATCGTAAGAGCGAGGAGGAAAAGATGTAGACATCATCTTATCTATTAGGGGCTCATACTTATTTTTATTTACTAATAGCAACCTGAGGTATGCCACTTTGGAAGTTTTGCTTACGCTAGTCATACATATACCCTGCCCAGCACGCTCCATCACTGATAATAATAAAAGGGAGTGCCAATTTTTTGACCTAGTTGCTTGTCTGGCTTGGTACCAATTATGTATTTGTTCAAAATTTTTTGTTATCAAAGTCCACTGATAAATATAGGCCATCCAAAGGATTGTTTCATAATTGGGATATTTGCCATAGTTCCCACGTTTGATATCCGGTTCGAAACCTCAGTTTTTATTCTATTTATTATTATTAGTAAGACTCCGTTGACCACCTCCTGGTTTATTTCTCTCGGACGCCTCTTACAACACCTACAGTACGATATGCGGTAGTGTATATTATTACACCACCACTACATCCAATATATCATAAAACCGTATAGAGACATTTTGACCCACTGTTAATCTTAAAAACAAAAACCAAATGTCACTACAGCAACTTTCGAAGTGTCCAGCTTAAGCTAGTTGATCGGCAAAACTAAGTGAAGAGTTGGTAACAAAGTTCGCCGAGTAAATCGTGCCGAGACGACACTAACTTTGCCGTTAGAATAAGATGGTATTATTTGCTATAAGTTTCGCCACATCGGATTAGATTTAACCATAAAAATGTGTACTATTTAAAGAAGGGATAACAGTTTACAATCAGGGCGTGTTGCTAGGCCACTTGTGTAAGTACAAGGTACACCGAGCTAAGGGAAGCGTTAGCTTGGAGTTTCTCTGCGTGATAAAATTAACAATGAGGATATTCGTTATAGAGCTAAACTAACCAACACATCGCAACGGATCAGTTAACCTTAGTGCAATGGGTCAGAAAGTTTTCGAGTAGCAGACACATACCGTTAAGCAGGGTGTAGAGCGGCTCAACGCTAGATAGAGTGACAATCTGGTAAGACAAGCAGGAAAACGATGTATGTATGTGGCTCAGTGCTATGTTTTGTGGAGGCCTGTATTAAAAACTGGATGTGTAAAGTGCTGTAAGGATGAGGATTGTTATTATAAATATGTATAAAATATCTCAAGCGACAGCCTGGTACTGGGAAGCGCAGTGTTAGGCATTTGCCAACTAGTTATATTATAGAGTGACGACATGATGAAACATGCAGAGAAACGATGGATGAATGTTGCTCACAGAACATTGTTTTCTGATCCATTGAGAAGGTCTTCCTCCAGCAGGAGACTTTGGTAGACTGTTAAGGCGTGTATACAGAATATCAAAACTCAAAAATAAATCTCGACAAAATATTAAAATATTAAGAAACCCTATCAAAAGGTTCTTCAAATCTTTAAGGTTACCGATGCACAACGGATTACACACAATACAAGTAATATTATGTGCATGCACTGCCGTGTTCTGGTCTGAAGGGTTTAGAGAGCCAATATGATTAGACACTCTGAGGCTCTCTTTCGTTTCTGTGGTATTAATGCCGTTAGCCTTTTGACGTTTACAGCTTCATCGGACTCAGACCTGAAGAGCCCGCGAACTATATAGGGGGATTGGGTGAAGATTATATATAATTATATATTATTGCAACGATACTTTCGTATTTTTACATAAAAAAGAAAAGAAGAGAAATTCTTAATAGGTAGAATAATTTTTAGAAACGGCATTAGCAGAACGAAAGAAGTCGCTGGCAGGTCAGATAGTCGGTCTTTAAAAAAAAAAGTTTCATTTATAGAATCAATTAAATAACAAAATAAACCGGTAGAAACATTTTAAAAATTTCTGCGTAGACGTTCTGAATAATAAAGAAACTAATAAATTTTAAACTTTGAACCTAACTCAATTGGTTAATTGTTCGAAAAGACGGGCGTTAATCAATCTCTTTTACCTTGCGATCATAATTTGCAAATAGTATCAATTTTATGATAGCCTCGTATGGATAAAAAAAGTCGGACATTTATTAGAATCAGGCAGTACTTTGCAGAAATCCGTTATAATTTATTAGCTAAGATTGACTTTATTTGCTACGATAGATGTAAAATCGATGTT